ATGCAATAATTCATTAGTATTCTAATTGGTAAGTGTTACTGTAACTGGTGTTTGCTTTGGTAATTGGTATTTTAATTGGCAATTGCTATTCAAAATGGCCGTTGGGGTAATTCTTACCAGTGACTGGTAATTACAATGGAAATTGTTAATTGGTATTCTAATTGGTTTGGTAATTCATATTTGGTTTGCTCATTGGTAACAGAGCAAAGTGGTCATTTGTAATAGATAATTGGTTTGGTAATTGATTTAGAAATTGGTATTATAGTGAGTACAAAACAAGTGATCAAAACACATTGATTTATTAACAATATAAAATATATATCATTTTGAAATTATAGCTTGTTTATGAAACTGATGATCCAACTTTTCCAAACCAAAAACATTGTATGAAAAATGCCGAATTTTAAGAAAAATGCCCAATTTTAAGGGCTTTTTCAACATGGAACTTTGTGGAAACCAACAAGATCCTTTCAGTACTTCAGGTTCAGCAAATAGTTATTTTCCATTAAGTGTGTATTCTCCTGGAGAATTTTTTACTGGCTTGGCTCTACCATCTGGAGCCTGTCTGTTACCTGCCTGCTGCCCCCATGGGATAACACAGTGGGGCGAGGTGTCTCCACAAGTACACAGGCAGTTTTGTACCCACTTATATCATAGAATCATTAAGGTTGGAAGAGACCTTCAAGATCATCTGGTCCAACCTTCCCCCTACCACCAATGTCACCCACTAAACCATGTCCCTAAGCACCAGGTCCAACCCTTCCTTGAACACCCCCAGGGACGGTGACTCTACCACCTCCCGGGGCAACCCGTCCCAGTGCCTGACTGCTCTTTCTGAGAAGAAATGTCTCCTCATTGCCAATCTGAACCTCCCTGGGTGCAACTTGAGGCCATTCCCTCTAGTCCTGTCACTAGTTATCTACAAGAAGAGGCCGACCCCCAGCTCCCCACACCTTCCTTTCAGGTAGCTGTAGAGATCCATAAGGTCTTCCCTGAGCCTCCTCTTCTCCAGACTAAACACCCCCAGTTCCCTCAGCCGCTCCTCACAGGACTTGTGCTCCAGGCCCTTCACCAGCTTCATAGCCTTGCTCTGGATGCACTCCAGGGCCTCCATGTCCTTCTTTTAGTGAGGGGCCCAAAGCTGAACACAGTACTTGAGGTACAGTTTCACCAGGGCTGAGTACTCCAAGGGTGAGTCTACTGGGGGTGATGAGTGAAGCCTCTCCTACCCTTTTTTTAGGGCAGGTGACCTGTACATGTTGAAACCCAGTCCTGATGGCACCCACTTACACACCTCCTGGGCATGGCCCTCTGAGGAGCATTTCCCCACTATCCTGCTTTGAAGCATCTCCTCCTGAACTGTCTGAACATCACATCTCCCTGCAAAATTTTTCCTAAGATTGCTCTTCAACCGGTATTTTTAATGCTGCATGAAGTCTGATATGGTAGAAGAAGCTGGGTTAGCCCATCAGATTGTTCCCCCTTTTCCATACATACATGACAATTGTTTCCAATGCTGGGGGTCCTTTCCTTGACCTTCTGCAATACAGAGAACTTGCAGTGTAATCCATTGGGTGGGAAACCATGTGGCTTAAACAAAAAAGACTTTGGAGTGCTGAAATATGCTAATGACATCCATATAAAGACAGCAAAACTCAGATCTGAAGGGAAAAGTAACTAAAATTGCTCTCTACAGCCTTTGATGCAAAAAATACTTGGTTGCTTATATAACTGATGGTACAAATTTCCACAGAGAAATATCCAGAACTGCCAGAACTATTTCTGTCCTATTATGGCCTTTGGAAAACTATTGATTTTCTTTCAGATGCATCAAGTTGAGCATCCAGTGTACATTCTTCCTGGCCAAAATGGTTTGCCTGAAGATGTTTGAATATCTGGCTCATTAGACTGTGTGCTTCCATGATAGGCATAGAAATTGGAGATAGAAAAGACCCCTTTGGTCACACAGCCCAACCCTCAGCACTGCAGAATTGTTCCCGCTCCCTCCTACACATTTTTGGCTGTTTTGTCCAGCCCAGTTATAAATGCCTCAGATAATGTTTTTCCCCTGGAAAGCTGCTTACCACCAGTGACCACTGTTATTAGGAACTGGGACTGGGATTACATCCAGTTACAAGAAGGGAGATTTCAATGTGATACGCACAAAAGGAGAACAGAGGAAGCAGCCAAAGGAAAGCTATGAACTGAATACAAAGAGCCTGTGTTTCAAACTAAAAGTTTGAAACTTTTAGTTTCACACCACCACTTAACAAGAGAGCATAATTGTTGCGGATGCATCTATTTCAAGTGATCAGGAGGTAAACAGAACCTTTAACTACCAAACAGAAGTTCCTTAGAATTGGGCAGGTTTTTTTTTCATTCCCCAAACCTCCCTCAGCTGGTAGCAGCAATTTTTGAGGGGAGTTCAGTTGCTGAGATGGACATTTTGATGGCCATACCTTCAAAGCTCTGCTGGCAAGTTCAGTTGGTTGTAGTCCAAGCGAGACTTCCTTCTCTTTCTTCTACTTCAAATAATAATACAGAAGGGGGATTATTTTTAAGAAGCTCCTTATAAACTGAAATATGAGGGTGCATTTCCAACATCATTTTTGAGACAACCTTTATCCTTCTTGAATTATTTCTGAACTCCATGAGGGTTTCAGAAAAACAATTCAAAATGCCTGTCTCCACTACCTGGTAATTCAAGGCTGATTTGTAAATCCTTACATAATGTTCATGGATATTGTAGTGTGCAATTACATTTTTCAAATGCTTTTCCTTTCACTTATTCTTTTCCCAAGTCTTTCTTAATTTAACCAATCAAAAATCCATTTATTTCTGATTTGAAAATTAGTTAATGCAAATAAAGCCTGGCTGACATTTGCAAGTCATTTGCAAACGCCCTTATAGCCTGCAATCACTATTCCTTCCTTTTCTGAATCCACATTTACTCATGTCTCTGTGTGATTGATTGTGGGTTGGGTATAACTTAGCGATACATCAAGAAAACATGATATATCACTGCTGTTCGTTATGTGTTCCACATATGAATTATTATTCACATGTAAGAGTTTGGGCTATGTCTACATTTTTGATGTTAGTTTAAGCCTGAAGCTAATCTTAAATCTGATATCAGCCTCTGGCTGGGGACACTTTCCATGCTAGTAGCACTGCTGGTCAAGTGGCTGCTATCATTAATAATTTAGCACTTTTTTTTTTTTTTTCTTCATGGTTCTTCTGAGCTGTGGGGTGCAGATGCCTCATCTCTCCAAGAGAAACTGCAGGGAAAATGCAGGACATTTTGTTTTGATTTATATGTTTAATGGCTTTGGCACCAACTAAAAAAATGCATGGCTACATCACTAAGTTAATCTTCACTTCTCCTGCTAAGTGCAGTGACCTGTGATCCCGGAGAGAGTGGTTCAACAGCAACATTAGCCTCAGGACCAGGAATCCTCAGGTGTGCTTCCATTGCAGACAGCAATGCAGCACAAGGATAGCACTGAGCTGTAAATACATTAGCTCAGGTACTGGGAGCTGTTTTGCTGCAGTGGCACAGAGCTCTGCATGTGCTAATTTAAGTTGATCCTCAACTAACAGCTGTGTCCTTGCAGTAAATGCTATGACTTTTATAATAAAGTATCTGTTGTTTCTTAGGGTCTCATTACAAGAGAGCCCAACATAGAATCAGCTCTAGATTGAGACACCTACATTTTGGCATGTTCATGCAGGTCTTTAGGTGTTAACTTGCTGTCCAAGCCCCTCAGATATGCCAGTAGAGAACAAGTCTGTGCAGTCAGTGAAGTCTGCAGAGTAACTCAGCTCCAAATTAGAAACCTAAGGCTGAGTTCCCCAAACTGGGTGCATTCATTGTGCCTGCATACCTGAAATGTCTACCCTGGGGCAGCAGGCATGACCTGGACCTACAGGAGATGTATGCATTTCTGGAGAGGCATCTGTAGGCAAGATGGGATGCCCTAAGGAGGACTGGATTGCACTCCACATCTGCATTTAGGTACGTCCAGAGGTGGGTCATCAGAATCAGTTGCCAGGACTGATTGTATTGACTGGGTCTTCTCTGACTACCACGGGAGCTCAGACAGCTCGCATGCAGACACCTACAAGCACACACGTAGGTTTCTTAATATAGAGTTGGCCACTATTCCCAGTATGTGATCGTGGAGTGGAGCATGACCCTAGGGGATGGATGAAGGCTTCAGATCCACTAGCAGATCCACTCACAACAGCCATGCCACTGAAGTCCCAAGAATGGTGCACCTCAGCTAAAATTACCAGGATGTGCTACAGAAAGAAAGAAAATATTCCCCTATTCCTGCCCGTAACATGTCACACACACACCAGTATCTAAAATCTCCCCTTCCTTCCTGATGAGGTCAGGAAAGTTTTGCTTCGTGCCCTTCATGCCATAAATACAAGAGATGACAGACGAATGAGGGTACAACATGCACCGGGAAGCGGGTAGGGGTGAAAAAGGACGTGAGTAACCAAAAAACACTGATGTAGCAGCTCCGATTAGACACGTCTTTGTCAGTGGGGGTCGGGGGGGAGGGTCAGTTGTTGGTGGCTCATTCTTTCTTTCCTCTCCTAAGTGCGAGATGTCGGTGGCGAGGCAGCTGGTGCTCCGTGACAGCTGCTTGTCACGCTGTTCATAATTGCCCCATTGATACCTTGCGCTGCCTCTGGCTGTTTGTTGCACCCACCTGTTGTCTTTGGGCTGAGCTCCTCATCTCAGCATTACCGGGGCTGCTGCTTTCCTGCGTGCCTCCTCCAACCCCGCCACGGGCCCCCGTGTGCTACCACAAGGTAAGTGATAGAGCACAAAGCACCCGATTATCCTACTAGCTGTGCTGCAGCAGTTGGTGAAAAGGTTCAAGCTAAGCAAAGCCTGGTGGAAAGATGGGGCGATTTGCTGTCACGGGAGGCGGCACTGATAAATGTGCAAAGGAAAGGAAGGAAGATAAATGTGCAAGGAAAGGAAGGAAGAAAGGATTTTGACGTGTGCTATCACTGGACATGTTTTATTATGGCCACGTGGCTCATTACTAACACACAATTTCACCATTTCTCATTGCCCTAATGTTCATGGAAGGAAAAATAGAGTAAGAAAAAATATGTTTGTAATGTATGTATGTGTACATATTATCCTTGTGTGTCACTGTATTCCCAACACGGGGCTCTGGAACATTTGGAGGCTTCAGATCTGTAGAGACTTTCATCTACTTCTAAACACTGCCAGCTCAATGGACAGATTGATTGCACTTGGGACAGGCAATCACATTATAAAATGTTGTGCTTCATGAAAATAATACATCTTTTTTTTTTTTTTTTTTTCTTGCACTTGAGCCAAGTTTTCCAGAGCATACAACCCAAAATTATGCAGGGAAAGTCATGATTTTACAAAGTATCTGTTATCTGCAAGAGGCACCGACTCTGGGGGGTCCTGTTGCCTACATGGCATTATCAGAGATGGAGGTGGGAAAAGCTGGAGGAATTTGTTATATAGCATGAAATTTCACAGTGACTTTGCACACAGCTAACACGAACTGATGACAAAACTAATATTCAGAAAATACTGAAGGCTCAATAGGAGGGCTCTAGTATGTCTCAGTAAAAGTCTGAACTTGCACATGGATGGCTGGTTCACTCCAATGGGCACACATTTTTGGAACAATGTTCTCCTGAAGAATTTGACCTTGACTGTGATTCTTCCTGGGTAACCAAGTCCTGCACAAAATAAATCTAAAGTAGCAAATAACACTGAATCACAGAAACTCCAGATCAGAAGGGATCTCTGGAGGTCATCTGGTCCCGTCCTCACTCAAAGCAGAACCACCTTTGAAGTCAGATCCAGCTCTGAAGTCACAGCAGGTAGCTCAGGGCTTTTCCCAGCCAATGTTTGAACATCTCCAAGGCCAGAGACTCCACGCTCTCTGTGGGCAACCTGCTCCAGAGCTTCATCACCTTCACTGCGCAAAAAATATGAATATTTAACATCAATTTCCCTTGCTGTAACTTTCGTTTCTCAAATTGCTTTTTACAAAAGACAGAAAAGTCTTAATATTATGTCTTACAAAGTAGAGAAGTATTATCCACATCCTAGCATGAAGAACCAGGGCACAGAAACATTATTACAAAGAAGAAGAAGCCAAGCAAAATTTCAGGGTGATTTCCCAAGTAAAAGAGGCTCACAAGATTACACTTTCAATGTGTTTGTGCCTGTCTGTTCCCCTCTAATAATTCCCAAATCTGATAGCGTTTTTTTCAACCAGTTCTGATGGAAGTGTAGTGATCTGATGGTAGATTTCCACAAGTTTAATGAAAACTGGCGTGTGGGTAGAAGAGGCAGACCCTGTCAGTTCCCTCGTTGACAAAAAGCTGCAATTGAACCCAGTTGTTGTTGGGTATTCAAGGACCCACATGGCAGGGAGGCACTCTGAATGGCCCAGCTCACAGAACAGATGTGATCAGACAGCCAGCGCTGTATTAGTCACCAGAGAATCCAACCACGGGCCCAAACCCATAGGGAACCAGGCTTCATTAGTTCTGCTGCTCATGAAATGCTCTGTTGTGTAATATTTTTTTTTCCCTACCTTTACTCTTACGCTTCAGCCAAGCGGTCATAAATTTCCAAGAGGGAAAAAAAAAAAAAAAAAAAAAAAAAAAAAAAAGCCTTCTTCATATAATCTCCCTTTATATATCATCCTTCTCTCACTGAGAAAGAGAATGGCTAAGAATAGCCAGTCAGATGATTTACTATTACAATTTTCTGCGGGTATATGGGATTTCTGGATGTCACTCAGCTGCCCTTAACAATAGCAAGGACACAATTGTTTCCATAGTAATACCCATTCCAAAGGGGTGAAGGTGTGTGTGTTGGGGGGAGAGTACAAAGCAAGGGGGAGGCACAGGTTGCACAGACTTGCATAAAGGACAAAAATCAGGCACAACAGAGTTGGGTTCTGCGATCCAAGCTATAGAAATTCCTCTTTTAAGGTCATTTCTATTCCATTGAATCCAGCAGAAAACTTACTTGAGCAAGTATGCAGGCTAAGACCCTTTCACATTTTCGACAACGCATGTACATGGGAGAGCTTCACATCTTTCATCACTCCTCTGCCTTGAACAACTAAAGCACAACTGCACCACTTTTAATGAGAGGAGACGTCCCTAGTTTGTGGCAACTGAACAGTACCCCTCGCCTTACTATTACATTTCTTACTTGATACAATATAAAAGCATGGTCCAGCAGGCTGGCCTCCCGAATAACCTAAGGGTATAAAATAGATGGTCTCCCTGTGTCGCACTTAAATAGAGTTAACCAGTCAACAGTCTCCTGACAAGCAGACTAAACGTGTTTTTTCACCTAAAAATACCCTCTGAACGGAGGAATTCTGATGCTGCAGCATGTATTAGTGTTTTTCTGCTATGTTTTAGTATTCCTGGTCACCCTGAAGAAAAGAAGAATTGCAGAAACAAAGGAAAGCCAACGCAGAAATAAATAAAACCCTTCTGCTTCTTTCTTCTATGGCTTAATAGCAAACGCTCCTCGTATGGTCTCCCAGCTGCAGCAGGAGAAGTACCCAAGAAGATTTTAATAAAAGTAGCTTTTATAAATGGCTGATGGGGGAAAATTGAAGAACGTATCTGGGATTCCATTTGTCCAAGATGGTTCCTGGGTCTGGTGCTAAAAGCTCTGCTATTGACTCAGACGGTTATATGACCCTTTGAGCCCGAGCCAATATAGATGAAGAGAAGTTAAGCTCAGGCCACTGGAAAAGGAAAAGGGCATTGAAAAGTAGATAATAAAATAATCTACTCCATCTTCTAGTCCTTAAATGGTCCTGTTGTTTTTTAATATTCTGTAATATGAGATGTAAATCTAAATATTGTAGGGAAGCAGCTATGAAAAGACCACATTTTGTGACTGAATCTCCTGCCTTGGTTGGATCTCAGAAGTCAGCTTTCCCTAGCCTACCAGAAAGGCTGCTTCCAAGGCAGTGCTCTCCCAGGGAGAGGTCAAGTTGTTGATTTTACTGAAGATGAACCACATTTTCTGGCCATCATTTTTTTTTAGTGTTTTCTTCATAAAGTGAATCGATTACAGAAGCCAAAAAGCCCTTCCCAACCACAAAATGATGTGAGAAAATCTAACTATTCACAACAGGGCTTCGAGATGAGGTCATGCCAAAACAATCACAGCAAGGCTTCTGAAGAAGAACCCCTGTCCCACCTGCTCTCTTCCTTAGTTAATACTTTGTCCTGGAAGGTGAGCTGCATGGGCAGATCCCACGCTGAGCATCGCTGCCTTTACAGTGGATTTATTTTCCAGTGAATCCAGTGACGGTGTGGGGCTGCAACATGATAAGCTTGTGGCATCCATCTCCCCCTAAAAAGAAAAGAAAAGGATGAGTGGGCTTGAGCTTTGCCACTTTGGTTTTGTTGTTTAAGCCCACGGTTTGCAAACCTCCCCTCACCCCCCACTTTGCAGAGCTGAAGATGCTAGGTGACCTCTCAGTCACACGGGTGCCCCAAGATTTAAATTGAATATTCTGGAATAATAAAACCTGGGCTGACAGTGCTTCCGTGACCAAAGGGTTTTATTAAATGAAAACAAGCACGCAAATGTACATTTTATGCTGAGGCTAGTGACACTATAATGAATAATTTGCAGGGGTGGAAGGGATGGATATCTGTGATAGCATTAGCAAGCGTTGACCATTTGAGCAAATGTAGCCACAATAATTGTAATAACAGTGGAAAAGGCATTGAAAAACTGGCAGAGATAAAAAATAAATAAATAAAAAAAAATAGGCCATCTCTTGAAGGCTGGATTGTGATACAGCCTGGCACAAAAGAAGAGGGGGAAGTTTGTGTTTCTTACTCCTATAGACTCACTGTGTGCTTCTCCTGAAACACAGGGGGAATTGGCTTCTCCAGGCTCCTTGCGCTTCCCTCTGCCAGGCAAACTGGTGGGAAGACCCAGCCTGGGGAGGGAGCACAGGCTGAGGAGAGCCTGAAGCATGCACACCCTGGGTTTCCCAGGAGAACAGCTCTAATGGAGTGCTACGACAGGGAAAAGTCCCCTGCAACCTCCCCAGAGCTGCAGGAGGGGACAAAGAAAAGGGACGATGAGCTGTCCATCCCTCTTTCTTCTGCAGCAGCGTTGAGCAGTGCTCCTTTCCCTGGGACAGCACTTACTCACCGATGCTTTCAGGAGGCATTTCATCATAGCTGGGTTTTATAGACACGAGAGCTCTTTCCCTCACCCTCCAATAACAGCCTCTTCTTATTAAGCACCGCACAAACGCGTGCACAGAAGCAGTGCCTCCTCCGCACGGCTACGTCTCGTAAGGAACTTGAGCTAGAAAATGTGTAGCCCTCATCCAGACTCGTAATTGTTTCTCTTTTCTGGAACTGAGCATGAACGCTACAGACTGGTATATACCGTCCCTATTTAAAAGCTGACATGATGGGTTGTTTTCATATCTAGCAGGAACAAGGAAAATGTGAACAAAAGTCAAGAGCGAAAACAAATCTGTATATTTCCATGAAAGAACCAATCTATTTTAGAGTCATCTTAGGTTGTGTTTTTAGTTGGGTTTTGTTTGTTTATTTGTTGGTTTCTCTTGCCATACTGATGAATGATATTAATTTGCATTGCATAGAAGTTGCAGATACAATCCTACGCCTATTTACATTAACTGCAACATTCAGGCACCCAACATCACTTGGAGACTTTCCTGACTTTGATGCCCCTGTACACCACCAAAGGTAGAGCATCAGGGAAAAGCTTTGTCATCTTGTTTTTCTCAATTTCTTCCCTTCACCACACAGCTATTTTGTTTATTTGTTTATTTTTGGAACCCACTTTTTTTTCTTTTTGTACTTTGCGATGCAGATTTATAATGAAAAGATGATCTGTATCCTCATTACTGTTCTATTGCTCAATGATGAAAAAACATGTTAACAAAGGAAAATGCTTTTCCGTCAGCTCATAATGTTCCCTGCTGTTCAACTGGGACTGTAAAGAGTATGGTTTAATGAAAGAAGGTGAGAAGGTGAAAAAAAAACAACTAATGAGGGTGTTTCTCTGCATTGAAAGATCACTTAGGAGCGGCAGTGATTTCTTTTGTGTCAGAAAAATATAAAAAATAAGGTTCAAAGGCAGCTTCCCCAAGGTCAAAGAGTCCCATCCTCCCTAACACAGTATACTCACTCTCCTCCCTGGCAACCTCCTCTTTCTACCTAGACCAGCATTTTGTAATTTTCAGATGGTGGAGAGAAAAGAAGTTCATGTGCCTTAGCCAGCTGCTAGCTCCTAAGGAACAGGCAAAAATGCTGTACTAGGTGCTCGAAGCTGCATGCATCGGTAACAGAGCAGCTCACAAACCCTCCGAAGGGCAATCACCATGCCATGGTTTCGCACTGAATACAAAGGCTCCTTTCCAGCATGCTGGGTCTGAGGTTTGGGCATCAAAGAGGGAATGAGCAAGGAAGGAGGAGGGGACTGTGGACTGCTGCCCAAATGACCATTTCTAAGAGTCCTTCCCCAAGCGTCAGGCAACAGATGTCAGATAAGCAGCAACCTGCCCTGGATCTGGGCAAGTCTTTGTTTTTAAACAGAGGATTCTCAGTAGTCTTCTGGCTCTTCTCTTCCCTGTCATCTTCTTCAAGGAGCTGGTGGAAGAAACGTGACGGGGCACAGTATCGCTGCCATCAGGGCAAAGGAAAGAACCTTGTTAGTACCCTGCAGTGCCACCCACAACACAGTGGGCAAAACACTACAAAAAATCAATACAGCAGAAGATTAAGCTCCAATGCACTCTGTTTGGTATGGGTATTAACACCTCCATCAGTAATAGACTGAGATTTCTTAACAAAAGCATACGCGTCCTTAACTGTGTGACATGTCTCTCTCCTCTTCTTAACTCACCGAGTTCATAACCTAAATTACATAGAACAGTGGCTAAATTAGTTCATCATTGCTCAACTCCGATCTGAAAGGACAAAGCAAGAAGCAGGAGAGAATAATATTTGGGGAACTGGATAGCTTCAGGGGATAGTTAATGACAGGATAGAGAGACTTGAATGCCTGCATCACTGGTTTTAATTTGGTTCGGGGCAGTAGCGACACAAAGTCATTACCATATGATAGCTGTTTGTTTTCCTGCCTGAGAGGAGTTGGTGGTCTCGGTCTGTTCCTAGCTGGCAGATATCTGCATTACAAAAACCAGCAGCAAATTTCCCATTCTCACCAGCTGGCCGAGTCAAAAAGCAGGGTCAGATTTGGGAAAGGGGCAGGCCTGCTGTGACACCTGAGCAACAGGCTGAAGCCAGCTGCAGGGACAGCCCGAAATGAGGACATTGCCATGCCTCGCCTGTGACAGGAGCCTGCTGTCACCTCCACCTTGCACAAGGGACCAACATTTGGCTAAATATGGAGCTGGACACTTTGCAAAACCCCTGGGTAAACCATTCACTTTCATGGATTCTGGATTTTTTTTTTCTTTTTCCCTTTATTTGCTTGGTGGCAGTAAAGTTACTCCTGGACAATAACATTTCTGATTGGGTTTTTATTGTTATTGTTTGCAATGTGGCAGTGCCCGCAGGTCATAGCCAGGATTGTGGCTCTGTTGTGATAGATGCTCACAAACTACTAGTAAGAGACAGTCCCTGCCTTGATGGAGTTAAAATTTAAATAGAAAAGTCTGACGATGGTGAAAGAAGTGAGATGCTATTATCCTCATTTTACAAATTTGGGGGGGTTGGGGGAGGGGGGGCTGAGCTCCTGGTGCTCTTGCTGTGAAAGTTGTGGATGTTTCAGTGCTACTGAAAAAAAGAACGGCAGAATGAGGACTTGAGCTTTTGGGCGCCAGCCTAACCCTGATGGATAGCTTGCAGAGCAAATGTAGAAAAGCTGGAAAATCGTGTTCCCTTAAGACACTTCTTCCATCTGCTGCTGCAGTACCTGATCATTTGAGGTTTTCAGGCACGCTGCTCTGTGGGTTGAGAAGGCTAGGGCAAGAAATGCTCACTGTTTAAGGTCTTGTTTCACAGCTTCTCCTCCTTGCAAAAAGGAATTTCCATCATGGCCTCTAGGATGAGCAGAATAATATTTATGGTGGAGACCCTCTTCTCTTTTCCAGAGATTTTATGACTGCGAAACTGTGGAAGAGCTTGTGTGCACCCTTGGTTTTCAGTGCTATCCTAGCAGCAAAGTCTCCAAAGCCAGCCAAATAAAGATAGAGCTTTAGGACAAGCAGACAGTCTTCTAAACTAGGAACAGGACCAAATCTTTTCTCTCATTTCAAAATGAGTCAAGAAACTGCCACATAAACCTTGAGAAAAGATGTTCGTCTGTGAGCAGGACACGGGATGTGGTTATTAGAAGACAATGTACCTCCAAGTGCCTCTTTGGAGATCATTTATATCTTCTTCGTTTGTTCTATCTACCTACGGATGATGAGAAAAAAGTGAGCAAAACGTTCAAGCTTATAACACAAAGCAGCAGCAGGAAACACGCTTGAGAAGAAGAGATGGGGAAATCTTGAAAGCAGCCATGGAACTCCAGGGTCTACAAAACCAGGGTGCAAGCGATCTCAGTGAGACTACTGAACAACCTCACCTGATTGTTCCATGGATTTTTGCCAAGTAAATCATCAAGCCCACTCATTAGGCACACCTGATCAATGTAAACAGCTAAATAAAATGCTTCATGGCTGGAATACAACATTCATAAAATGATGGGCAAAGTTTAATTATCATAAAAATATGATATACTAGTATTTGAAAAAAAAAATCTGTCTGGTAGAGCAACAATTGGTGATTTGTGGCTTAGAAAGAGCACAGGATTATCTCCTCTATTACCTTGTTTCCTTCTCTTTCTGAAATAGGGAGTGAAGGAAGTTACAGCTGCAGTAGTACTGGGGGTGGCCAGAAGATACCTGACCAATGCACTGCTTTGAAGCACATTAACTGGGAGCAACCAAAAGAAAAGTAAGAACATCTGATCTTAGGGTCTATGCCCACCCCCATCTCTTCCTTCAGACCTCGTCGTTGGTATTGGATGGCTTTATTTCCACTGGCAGCAAGGCTCAAAGTGTGAGGAAAGACAAGACTGCAAGTAGCCTGTCACTATTTTAAGTCTTTCACAATCATACAGCTTAAAAAAGTGGCCATTGACGTATTCTGGAGTTCCATCACATGGCTGGAAGCCCCACAAAATTCTAGTTTTTCTAGATGTTTGGGATTTCAAATTTTGTTTCAAATCAGAATAACGGTGCTCTCTACCTCCAGAAAGCCATGGAGAAAATTAATTACAGCTCAATGGAAACATGATTCAGCTTTTCAAATTTTGTATTATTTTGTAATATATAATATAAAATGAAATATTTTGAAACCAAAACTCATTTTGAAAGAAGAAATTGAAACATTTAGCTTGGAAATGTCAAAACGAGATGTTCCCACACTGTTGGAACATCCCTCCACCACTTACTCTTTTTTAAATGACATTTTCAGTGAAACCGACACAAGTTTGCAAAGCGATCTGATTTTGACAGGGTTGCATTTTCCAGTGGAAAGCTGTTCTGTCAGAGGTTTTCCAACCAGCTCCACCAGGAACAGGTGTCACAGGATCGCAACAACCTTCCCCTTGCCAAATCGCTAAATTAAAGGCGAGATCTGGATAAACGTTTGGGGAGCGCAAGGCACGAGGGGTCACAGGACACCCCACCATGAAGAAGGCTGAGAAGCTGGTGCTCGAGTCACCTCTGGCTACCGATACCGAACTGCTGCGCCTGTGGGCTGAACTGGCAGTAGCAACTGTGGAGGATTTTTAGGGGGAAAAAAAAGCCACCTCGGTGTGTAGGCATGGCTACATTTGTCAACATCGCAATTTCCCTCCCTGCTCTCCGAGTTTAGAAGTGACAGAAAGAAGGATTACCCCGAGATTGGAGTAAATCCCAGTTCAGGATGGGGATCTTTTATCCAGCCGTAAGAGTGGAGGTGGAATGAGCAGTAAGTAACACGTTGCCCTAAATTCACCCCGTGGGCTGACTTGTGTCCAGCGATGTCCTCTGGATGGGACTTGCCTTTGCCGAGGAGCTGCGCTCCTCCATGACTGCGGAAGAGAAGCTTAACCAAGTAGGTTCACATTAAAGGCAAAAGTACCAACCTTTCAGGGAAAAAAAATCAAATGAAAACTCTCGGTCCTCTGAGGAGAAGTCGGTACTTTCTGAAATGTAAAGCTGAAGAGAAATCTGCTCTGATTTTACTGCAGTGTTAAATAAAGTTCTTTTTACACACCAGCACTTTTGAATTACCAAACAGACTGACTAATATCAGAAGCTTGAGTTGGGCACAAATGAGTTAGCCTTTTTTCTTCTCCAATTTTCTCACAGGAATGCCACTTGAAAATGCTTCCTTTCTTGTTAATTTAACGATTATCATCAGGAAGAGCCAGCGGTGGGAAGAAAAAAAAAAAAAAAATGTAGGCAGTAATTACGATTGAGCAGAATCGGTATGGGACTAAGCACAAGGGAAGACGAGACCGAGGCAGCGGGTCTGGGATCCTCGGCAGATGCGCCAGCCCGCTTCCCCAGAGCCCTGAGATGCTGAGTGCCTCAAGCCCTGGGGGCCCAGACGGAGAAACCTTCGAGGGGAAGGCTCACCATCAGATGGCTCACACCTCTCGGGTTGGGCATCCCCGAAAATACTGCCACCCAAAGTCTTTAATCCTCGCTCGTGAAGAGCGTAGCTCCCTGTGGGTTTCTCCGCTGAGGGATGAGGGACCCGGGCTATTCCTCTGCCGCTGGGTGGATGTGGTAGATGGACCAGTTAATGTCTTTAGACACTATGTCAAACGATAAATATTTATCATGTTGCTGTATTAATACATGTGAAGACAAATACATATTTATGACACTGCAGAGGGAGAAGCACACGGAGCAAAGCCAGCTGGATATCACATTCTTAAGGAACCGTCTTTTGAAGAAAGCCCAGCCTGCTGGTTGTCCTTGCGCCTTCGGAGCCACCTCAGCCCGGGGAGATGCGGGATTCCCCGCGACGTGCCCGCCACCACCCCGGCTGTTGCACCGGCACAAGACCACCTCAGCCACTCTCTGCCAGCCTCGGGGGTAACGTGGGGAACAAACGCTGGCAAAACTCCGGTGCCCCGCAGCCGGGCACCACCACGCAGAGATGCACCAAGCCTTGAGGCACACGGCTGCTGGGCGATGCCCCTTGGGGTGCCTCCCCAAACCCACCCTCAAGCCCTCGGGAGCTTCTCAATGGAAGCCGGGCTCCCTCCCGGGGGCTGCCCCGAGGCCTCAGCCCCTCGTTCTCCGCCGCCACAGCCCGGTGGGGCGGAGAGGGCGGCGGGCGGGTCCCTGCCGGGTCTCTGCCTCCCTCCCTCCGTCCTTCTCTCCCTCCCCTCGGGCGGGGAGGCGCCGGCCGCCCCCGCGGGCCGCAGGCGGCGCTGCCTCGCCCGTCGGCTGCCGGCAAGGCCCCGCGGCACGACGAGGCTAATTATAATTAATAATTTAGAGCCCCTCGGGGAGGGGTAGGGGAAGAGAAGGGAGCGGGAGGCGGCCGCCCGGCGGGGTACGGGGTACGGGGCACGGGCACGGCCGGGGCAGGGGCAGGGGCAGGGCTGGGGTCCGCCGCCCGCCCGCCCGCTGCCCACCCCCGGGGCGAAGTTTGGCCGCCGCCGCCTGGCTTCCCCCGGCGCTGCCAGGGCCAGGACAAAAGGCACATTAACACGTGATGGCAGCCGGGCTTCATAAATGGGACCGGAGAGGGGCGGCAGGCTGCGGGGGGTGACGGGGGACGAGGCGGCGGTGGGTGCCGGAGCCCCAGCCCCATCCCCAGCCCGCTGCCTGCCCGCCCCGCTCGCTGCCTGCGGGCGGAGGCGGCGGAGGAGGGCCGGGGGCGGCGGTGCTGCTGGTGCTGGAGGTGGAGGAGAAGGAGAAGCAGCAGCAGCAGCGGCAGCAGCAGCCGCCCGTGGAGCGAGGGCGGCGGTGGTCGGAGAGGAGGCGCCAGGGGGGGAGAAGAAGAAGTCTCCCACCTCCTCCTTCCCCTCGCCGGCACCGCCTCCTCCTCGGCGCTCCCCAGTGCCGGGGTGCCCGGGCGGGGCGGCGCTCCCGCTCCCCGCTCCCTGCCGGGGGTCGGCGCGGCCGGAGCAGGAGGGGGACACGAGGCCGGGGCCGTGCCGAGGGTAAGGAGGGCGAGGGGCTGCGGGGAAGGAGGGAGGGAAGGAAGGAAAAAGGGTCCCGGCGGGGCTGAGCCCCTCGAAGTTTGTCGCCTAGGGGAGGTGGGGGGCGACGCCGCTTGCCCCGACGGCGGGGCGGCTGCAGCGCGCTGCCCCCTTCTCCGTCAGCCCGAGCGGCTTTGGGGTCGGGGACGGGTCCCTCGGGGCACCCGAGGGTTGCTGCCCTCGTCCCCGTGCGCATCCCGGTCGCCAAACTCCGCAGGGCTGCTGGGCTGGCAGAGGGGGCAGCCCCGCCGCAGGGTGTCCCCGCGGGGGTTTTGGGGCCGGCCGGGGTCTGCCTGAAATTGGGAGGGGTGTGTGTGGGGTGGGGGGAGCTCCGGAAACTTCAGGCGGTGGCTGTCGGGCGAAGCTTTCGGGCGGTCCGGCGCCGATCCGAGGGGCCGGGGGGGGTTTCTCCTAGCCGGGCAGCTTTTTGTTCCCGAGCCGGCTGCGGAGCTCCGCCGGGAGCACCCCTGGAGGAGGTACGTACCCGGCAGCAGGCGGCTCCTTCCCGTGCCTTCGCTTCGGTTGGGGAAAATGGTGTCAGATGATGAAGTCCGGAGTTGTTTGGGTGTTTTTTTTTGGCTAAAATTATCCTGAGCGGTGCTTTCTGTACGCCAGTAAGCGATCGCATGCACAGTTTTGGTGTATGGCTTCTCCCTTCAAGAAGGAAAAGGGAGAGGTGCTCCAGAGAGCAAAATACTCCTTCTGGAGTACCCGCAAGTTTTGCTTTTTTTAAAAAAAGAAGCATCGTGTGGCTTTTTTGACCTGTTAAAGGTGTGTGGTGTTTCTTTTTCTCCTTGCACGTATCCTCGTGTTTTCATTGTTCACCTTTCCTTAAAGGAATATGGCTTTCTCTGCTGGGGGTGGCATTGCTGCTCACATGGATCGAGATCGTGGGGAGGATCAGAGTGCTCTTTAGTACAGCGTATAATACCAAAATGTGCAACATAGCAAAAAAAAATATCTTGGGAGTACTTAATTCTTCTCAGATTACACCTAGTATCAGCTGCTAGCTTAGGTTTTCTCCTCTAAAAAAGAAAAAAAAAAAGGTGTGACTCTGCCTGCATAATAAATATCCGTACTAGAGTTTATTAAATCAACTGTAAAAGAAATGAATATAATGTCTTTAAACAGTTTAGAAGATGAATGTGTAATTCCTGCTTTGCTTGAGGTTAAAATTAGTTTTGTAGCAGCCGGGATACATCTTTGCTTTATTATCCATTGGTCTTTGGAATGAGAGGCAAAGCCATTTGAATAAAAGCATTTTAAAACAAAACTGATAAAAGCACTAATTGTTTGACTGAGCCATCAGGCATCTATTGCTGAGGGGGGAAGAAAAAAAAGTTGGCAAGGTAAAGAAATTGATTATTTGCTTGGAATTTATCTCGTCAACTGTTCGGTAACACCTGAAACCACAGTAATTAAATAAAAATACCTACAAAACTCTAGGGGAAAGTGGAAGCAGGTTTTAGCATTGCGAGGATGGGCGGGTGGGTGCTTTGATCCTGGCTGTTGTGCTTTGGTGAATTATGTTAGCTCCGTTGCATGAAGAGCACCGTTTAGAGCCTTCATGCTCTGCTGAAGGAATGGCACATCTCAGCCAAGGCATTTCCGTCTGTCTCTTTCTGTGTTCACAGGTTTCTGATTGGGCAACAAAAGTTTAGAAACAGAATAACTTCTTTCCCCCCCCAGTCATTTCTGACTTCCATCCTTTAATGTGGCCATCCCCAAATGCTTGCAAACTGTGATTCTGCTCAGATTTTGGTGCTGGCAGTGTTACGCACTGGGGAGGGAGAGCTCAGGTGGCTTTCCTCTCTGTTGGATAAAAGTAGGTGAGGAGATTAAATGGCAGGGGAGAACCCAAACCTGTGCACTTAGTGTTGCCTGAGCGTTTTGCAAATACGTCGCCGCTCCTGGTTCCTCAGGTCTGTCTCATGCACTGTCTTCCACTCCCCCGGTTTCTCTCCTCCTGCCCTTTTTAAGGGGAATTGCCTTCACTTCTCACGTGCAAACTTTGCGACCTCTCCCTAGCTGTTCCGTCAGCTCTCGAGGCATCAGCAGCATTCATTTTGTCAACAGTGATTTCTCTTCATTTCTTTGCAGATGTCTATATTGGCTTTATCTCATTCTCCTCATGAAACAGTAAATGGTTTGAGATACATTTTTGCTGCAATTTCCCAGATAGGTTGGGCTATCTACGATGATGAATGTTCCACAGAACCACTCATCAAGCATTTAAGCGAGAATTTGGAGATTTTTCTCCTTGGTAGCAGCAAATTCGCACAGTCTGCTGCCGATTTAAAATATGTACTGCAGGCGACCCTAACACTGGGATTTGGCCAAGTTCAAAGCAGCTGTGCAGATGGACATAGAAGACAGAAGGCAGAGGGAAATAGACCCTTTTAATCATAACAAGGCTGCTCTTGTTTTCCTATCTATAGTGGAGATGCATGCCAGCCCCTTGTACTTAAAAGCAAGCTTGCAAATGTGCCAGAATAGACAGCAACAGCATTTGTTATTAATGCAAAGTTAAAAATGTGACAACCTGTCTTCTCAGTATTGCTCTTTATGTCTCCATTTCTAGCCTGACGCTGCGCTGCTGCAAAAAAGCGCACGCCTAATTGCTGCTGGTGGGATAAGGATGCCCCCCAGAACTCAGCCTCGGTGCAAGTGCGTGGCTTTGTTAATGATCACCGCAACCAGCCATGGCCTGTCCTTTTGAAATGGCCGTAATGACTTATAAATCAATTGCTCGTTAGAAAGAACTTTTTTTTTTTTTCTTTTTTTGCTGAAGGTGCCATTGTTACCCGTGAAAAATGATTTGGCTTGCACCATAAGGGTGGCCCACGTTTTGTTACGACGTTGGTGCCTCATGCAGGGGCATTGTGGTTATGCACACAGCGAGCTCACTTCTGCCTCTCTCGAGTGGGAACATCCTTCTCGTTTCATCTAGCTGCCCACATCCAGATTACAGATAAAATAGATATTTCACTACTGCATTAGTTAATAAGATTTCATTCATTATACCTCAGCTGGGCTGTTGGTGAAACTGGCTGCTTTGTGCCTTTCAGATGTTGTCTTGTTTGTGTAGATCAAGGCTGGATGGCATCGAATTTTGCCTCAACCTGTGTTAACCTCTTTTTATGGCAGTTGTATATTCTTCTTAGCAAAGGCGTGCTCACATACTACAAAGTACTGAGCAGCAGCAGTTCATTAGGGAGTACTGTCAATTCCATTTCAGCCCTCGCTGGGATAATTTTCATATCTGCATTTTAGGAAAGCTTTTAAAGTTTGTACTTGGGGGTTTGGGGGCTCCCACCTTCCCTTTCTGGCGAACACGTGAAATGTGCTTGTTGCTCTGAGAAGTCATTATTTCTACCCGGTTCTGCCTCTGTGGAGCACAAGGCAGTGCTGGATTCCAGACTGTGCCTGGAAAACTGTGTGGAATAGGTTTGGAGTGTGTGTCTGTAGATACCCATACGTATATAATCTAGCAAAATAATTTTCACAGGATCTCGGTGATAGATGTGCTAATTTTAGATGCTTGTTTTTCCCCAGGAAGGCTGGGTATGGGGGAATTCAAAATGCTACTCAGCAGTTATCTCGCCTGTATGTTTTGTACCTACACTGCTAGCTTGTCTGTCTGTCCTCTGGCACCAGGAATTTGGGTTTACGCATGACAAACACTGCTGCAGCGTTTGTGAGACTTTGCACAGTTGTTCCTCCAGGCATGTGTATGTGTTTGTGTATGTCTATCTGTAAGTTTATACGTGTGTGTATATATATACACACAAATTCATAGCTCATCCCTCAGTATCTTTTAACCACTTCTCCAGATACCATGAAATATCGGTTGGAGTCTCTCTGCATTTTGTTGTTCTGGTTACTTTGATACCAGATTCTACTGTAATTCTTTCTCACTTCTCCTTTTCTCTCCCTCTCTCCTTTTTTTAAAAAAGAAAAGCATCTGCATATTTCAAAGACATGCACCATTGCCAAGCAATCTGGTGTAGTAGCTTAATATGCTGGCAAATAATTTCACAAGTTGTTTGTGTGTGTGAAGGCAGTATATTTGAATATCATTATATTCTGAATGTAGATATGAAGAGAGTTATCTGAGCTTATTTAAATTTTATGAAAGGCCAGACAGCTCCAGAAATGAAAAAAATGTTTTACATTTCTTAATTGGAGTGCATATTTCTGTCCTCTGCTGACGGTGTGGGGGACATCACGTTCACCAGAAGCCTTTCTGTCCCAGCATCTGAGCACTGCCCATGTGTGGTGACCTAATAACAATTTTCGGGAGAAGGAGGCTCCCGAGGGCTGAGCAGAAGGAACATTGCTTTGCAATGTGCTGCTGACCTTCTTGGCCATTATCTGTGAGCCCTGCGTTCCTTTTTCCTTCTCGCTGCATCTACCTACTGTGTGGGTTATCCAGTGGCCACGTTTGAGCATCCTGTCTCCCTTTTTGCTCTGAGGTATGTATCCCGTGCTTCATTTTCCTACAGAGTCTGGTGGGCTCGGCTGGTCACCACTGACTGTCCCCGGCTCAGTGCCGTGTGTCGGTCCGTACAGCGCTGTCCTTCTCGGTGACCTTACACAGGACAGCTTCTCGGGGCCCTTTGCGTCTCCTCTCACCCTTTGAATACAGATCAAAAATGGGCTTTGAAAAGAGCAAGCTGTTGCCTGCAGAGCTGTGGGTCTGTTCTTTCTTTCAGGTGAGATCTGAAAGTCCCACTAGCTACATCCTTCAGCCTGTGGAGGTGTCTCTGAAGTCCTCCTGGCTCAGAAGAGCAGGGGGGTTTTCTCTCGTGAGTTTTCTCCTTCGCCCAATCTGCTTTCTCCAAGCCAATCACAAAGGCAACAAAGGCAATTCCTTCCCTAAAATCTGCATCCCCTGCCTACCAGGGGCTCCTTCCACTCGTCTTCCTCTCTTACCTTCCCCTGGTTTGCACCCATCTCACTTGGAGACATCCTATTCCCCGTCTCAGTCATCAGTTACCTTCCCCTTCTCTTTGCACTCCCATTCACACCGCTTAACCCCCATTACTTTGCCTTTCATCATCTCTTTGCAATCTAGCAGGGACTTCAATTAAAACTTGTTTCAGACACGGTTTCTTGCAGGGGGAAGGAGGAGAGCAGTCATGCACTGTGTGGTTTATTAAGATTTCTCCCTGGAGCCTAATGTTTTTCCTGCCTTTCTGGTTCTAATCTGTACTCTTTTAATAAAGTTCACTAATATTTTCTGCTGCTACAAATTCTTGACCTTTTTTCTTCTGCTCTGGCTGCTATGTGGAAGCTGTTTTCTTGGAGTGGTTAACTCTTTGCTCATAAGTGTGTTTCTCCCACAGCTTCATGCACTAGATGTCAGATTCTTCTGGGGACCTCTAGCATCCAGCATCCAGTGGAGTCTGAGCCCTTTATGTCCTGTGCTGCTCTTTGCAGTTACTTCTCTCTCTTCAGACACATCTTGTGTGCCAAGCTGCTGTCTCTTCCAGGAAATCGAGTGTTCACTCCCCATCTCTTTTGCACCTTGCTGGGCTTCTCTTTCTCCATTTCACCTTTATGTCGATTCTGCCCAGCAGTGGTAAGCATCTGCACCTCTTGGCATTACAGAATGGTCAGAAAAGGTGCAGGGAAAAAATATTTATTCTTTGAGTATCGAAATCCAAGATAAGTCCTCTTCTAAAAAAAGTTCGAGTTCCACACTGACCAATTTAACAGATGAGTCCTCATCTGTTTTCCTTACTGTAAATTAAGGAAAATGTATCAAACTACTCTTATTGTATCCTTTCTGTTGTATTGGGAAGTCAGTCCCGAAATGGGAGCTGTTTTTCAGCAAATACGAGGTCACTCCAGTGTTTCCATTTCATCTGAACTTGTCATACTTC